ACGGGCATGTGCAGATTTCACCAGTTTTAGGCATCTCGATCTTGTCTCGGATTACTGGTTGGGGTGCGTATCCACGTCTCAGAATTTTTGACAGTGTTTAACTGTACAGTGAATGCCAACTGTGAATTTCATAATTTGATGAAGGCTATGCATCTTGTGTTTTTACGCGTTTTTGCTGTGCAGCGCTAGAGCACTGCAACAGGCAGCAAAAATGTATATTGCAACGGCCCTGTCAGTGTGTGTGTGTGTGTGTGTGTCTTTGTGTGTATATGTGTATATGTGTGTGTTCGTCTGTTCGGATATTTCAACTCGTCAACCACGCAAGCTTTGAAGTTGAAATTTTGCCAGTGTGTTTTCTAGCCAGGTGCCACCCCAAGGCCGCGGAATCAGCCCTTACGCACGTCTGGGCCTCGCGTACGAACACGTGAAAGTTTTTACTGGAGAACTGATAACTCGGGAACGAGAAAAGCTAGAAAACTGAAATCTTAGGGGAATGTTTACTACCCGTGTATGACAAAAAATTTTCAAATTCAGTTGCCCAGGACTGCCCGGAGCTTACATAAAGGTACGTAAAAATTATGGCGGGAAAATTGATAACTCGAGAATAAGAAAAGCCTGAAAGTTGAAACTTTGGGAAATGTTTTCTACTCACGCACGACCAAAAGTTTTCAAAATCAGCTCCTTAGGACCGCCCGGGGCTCACGTACGGGCATGTGAAAAATTTGGCGCAAAAATTACTAACCCGGGGACGAAAAAAGCTTGAAGGCTGAAACTTTAGGGGGATGTTCCCCACTTATGTGCGAGCAAAATCATGTTTAGAAGTGCCTGGGACCCACATACGAGTGCGTGGAAATTTTGGCCCAAAAACTACTAACCCGGGAACGAAAAGCTAGAAAGCTGAAACTTTGGGGTAATGTTCCTTACTCATGTATGACCAAAAGATTTCAGACTCAACTCCTTAAAACCGTTCGGGACTCACGTACGGATACGTGAAAATTTTGATGGGAAAACTGCTAACTCAGGAACGGGAAAAGCTGATTTTAAGGGGAAGGCTTTATATTTAAGGGGCTGTTTCCTACTCATGTGCGACTAAAAGATTTCAAATTTAACTCTTCTAGTGCGGCCTTTTTTGCGGACCAGCAACTTTCCATTTGTCAGGTCACTGAAGTCGACATTTACAACTGACATACACATAGTTGCACGATGGCCAGTATGTCACAGGGTTAGCTACTGTGATTCCTTGCGATCTTGCTACGGCACGAAAAGTGCAAAAACGCATATTCGCGCCGGCCAGCCTGGTGCGTTCCAGCCTGATTTTTAAAGCTTGATTTTCAAATCGTTATTGGTGCTTAGTGCTTATTCTAAGTGTCTGCCGTCGAGCTCATGGGATTGATTTTCGAACCTTCGAACTAGGGACAGTATGCTTTTACAGCTACCTGTTTTTGTCTTATGGATTTAGAGAGATCTTTTGGTTCTGTTTTCAATCAAGCACGAATTTAAAACAGTAGAATGTGGGATCTTTAGAGTCAGTGCTCGATCGCTTTCATCTTTCCTGTATTCCCTTCGAACGAAGATATACATCATTCTCTTGGAACGTGATGAAACGTACCGAGAGAATGACGCGTGTTTTCGTTCAAGGGCGACTCGTTTGCTGCTTTATGGTAATCAACGCGAGCAGCTTGTACCACCGTTTTGAGTTGCATTCTTTTCGCTGTTACATCTTTTACTTTTAGTGATCTTGTGATTGATGGGACAGACGAACGTATCTCAGTTTGCGTGGACGCTCGCCAGTTTGGCTCAATTGCACGTTTCGCGCGTCGATCTTGCCGACCGAACATCAAACTTCAGCATTTGTTTGTGCAGAACCATCTGCACATTATTGGTGTAGCTGCGCATCGCATTGAAAGTGCAGTCGAGGTGAGTGCTGTCTTTTATAGTTGCGGAAAAAACATGTAATTTTGGGCCTCACGTTTGATACTTGTCAAAATATCGGTCCATCTTTCCACAGTGAATTCTTAGTTCTCCTTTTCACTGAAAAATGGATGCAATCTGTCAAAATCTCGAGGCGATCTGCGAAAAAGGGATGTGCGTACACATTAGGGGGGAGGAGGAGCGGAGGGTTACCGAAGAAAAACAGAGAGGAAAAAGACGAGACGAAATATTTTTCATACGATGTGTAAAAGAAAAAACCCCCCCCCCCCCCCCCCCCCCCCCCCCC